AGGGGTGTAAGGGTGGGTGCTGGGGGCTCAGTGCAGCTGCAGCCGGAGGGAGCACTGATGAGCAAAGCTGCCTTCATTAGCACAAACGTCGCGGGGACGGGACCTGACGGGAATATTAACTCAGTGCTGCAGCGCCGGGCTGCACAGAGGGGACAGGAAAAGCCAGGGAGGATGGGGATACTGCATTGAGCTGAAGGCAGGGGTGAGGGGCTGCAGGACGAGCTTGGGGTGCACAGAAGCCCATGTGCGTGGATCCAGGGCATGGCCGGGCCCCACCAGCTGGTTAACTCATCCTCCTCCCTGGGGTGGGCGTCCAGCCCCTCCCCCACTGCATTTCCCATTATTTATTTATTAGCAGGACTCATTACCGCCATGGCAAGCACTTAGAGTGGTCATTAAGGCTCCTGCTACGGCGGCCGTGGTGATCTCAGCACCTTCGTCCGCTACAGTGGCCCCAGCCTTCATCAGCTGCAGCCTGCCCCATGCCCTTCCTTGTCCCATCCCTGTCCCATTCACAGAATCACAGAATCACCCGGGTTGGAAGGGACCTCAAGGATCATGTAGTTCCAACCCCCCTGCCTGGCAGAGCCACCAAACATACACATTTAGATCATTCCCATCCTTCCTGTTCCTGTCCACCTCCCTGTCACCATTCCATCCCCATCCACGTCCCATCTCCACCCCCTCCATATCCCTGTCCCCATCCTCAACTCTCTCCCCATTCCCACCCACATCTCCGCTGATGTCCCATCTCTGCCTCCATCCCCATCCCCTCTCTGTCCTATCTCCATTTCCATTGCTATCCCCATCCCCATTCTTGCTCCATTTCTTTCTCTATCCTTGTCTCCATCTCCATTCTATCCGATCACCTTTGTCTCCATCCCAATCCCCACCTTCATGTCTGTCCCTGTCCCCTTTCCCATCCTGACCTCCGCCCGTGTCCCATCCTTGTCTTCATTCTCATCCCACCCATCCCTATCCCCAACTTTGTTCCATTTCTGTCTCTGACCCTATCCCTGTCTCTATCTCCATTGTATCCTACCCCATCCCTGTCTCCATCCCTATTCCATCCCAGTACCTATCCCCATCCCCATCCCCTTTGTGTCCAGTCTCCATCACATCCCTATCCCATCCTCGTCTCCATCTCCACACTCATGCTTTTATCTGTCCACATCCCATCCTTTTCTGTGTCCCTTCCCTGTCCCTCTCCCCACCCTCATCTGTATCCCATTCTCCATCCCCATCTCTGCCTCCATCCCCATCCCAACCCATCCCATCCTTGTCCCCATCCACATCCACATCTCCACCACCATCCCATCCCCATCCACATCCACATCTCCACCACCATCCCATCCCCATCCCTATCCTCACGTGTCCCTGCCTCCACCTCCATCCCTGACCCATCCCCACCCCCGTTCCCCCACCTGGGTACTGCAGTGGGATGTCGATTTTGGGGCCGATGACGTAGTGGCCCTCCTCCAGGCTGTGGGCCGTCACCGTCGTCCATTGGCGGCACGAGTGGATCAGCAGCACATCCTGGGCACTCACCCCCTCCACCGACTCCCCTGCAAGGGGATGGGGATGGGATGGGACCCGTGGGAACACGGTGTGGTCACAGCCCACCGTCAGGTGTCCACCACATTGGTCCCACTGGTGTCCCTGCCACGCACCCCAAAGTGCCACCAGCCCTGGGGACAATGGAGGTGAAGGGACAGTGTGGGTAGGGGGTCAGTGTAGGTGTGGGTTCAGTGCAGCTATGGGGACAGTGTGTGTACGGGGCACTGAGCCACGGGCTTGGGGACAGCCATGTCAGGAGCCGCCGGGTGCAGGGTGAGCAGGTGCCCGCTGCCAAGAACCTCCAGTTGCCCTGGAAACAATTTCTTTGTCCCTCTTGAAAGGCTGCAGCAGCAGCAGCTGAACAACAAGTTTATTGACACGGGGCGAAGCGGCTCGGGGGCCCCCAGCATCCCAGCACAGCATCTCCAGGGACACAGCAAGCTTTGAGGGCGCACCCCAACCCCTCACATCCTGCTCTGTCCCTACACACCTTGCAGCACCTCTGCACCCGTGCAAAACCCACGCACACACTCGGTGCACAAAGCCATAGCCATGCACACTCCTGCACCTCATGCACACCAACACTTTTGCACCTGGAGGCACAAAGCCATCGCTGTGCACACCCCCGTGCACACCTTACACCCGTGCCTGGGCAGCAGTGGGGCAGGCAGGGGGGTGCAGGCAGTGGACATGGCCGTGCCATGCACTTCCATCCCGGAATCTCAGCAACAGTTACCCGGGCAATGGGCAAAGCCTGCTCTGGCTGTACAATGCTGCACATGCAGCCCCTTTGTGTCCCCAGGCGCCTGTGCCAGGCAAGTGGCATTGATGGGACCTCCCCATGGACACCCTGAAAGGGCCACGAACCCGCAAGCCCCCTGCCCCTCCATTGCTCCGCTGCTTCAGCTCCATCCTGCTCCTGTCCCATCCTCTCCATCCCTTCCTTGTTTCCAGTCCCTCTCCTTCTCCAGCCCCTCCATCCCCCCTGTATCTCTGTCCCTGTCCCCACCATCCCTCCATTCCATGTCCTTCCTGTCTCCCCATCTCCCTTTTGTCCCATCCTTTTCTCACAGCCTTCCACTGCTCCCAATCCCTCCTGTCCCCATCTGTCCATCTCAGACCCACTGTCCCTGTTCCCATCCCTCTGTCCCATCCCTCTGTCCCTCTCCCTGTCCCCTGCACCTCCCCCCATGTTCCCTATCCTTCTGTCCCCATACCCATCTCCATGCCCCACATCTCCTCCATTCTCCCCATCCCTGTCCACGTCCCTCTGTCCCCTTCCCTGCCCCCTGCATCTCCTCCATGTTCCCCATCCATGCGTGCCCCGTTGTCCTCATCCCTATCTCCTGCCTCCCCCTCACATTTCCTATTCCTCAGTCCCCATCCCTCTGTCCCCATCCCCATGTTCCTGTCCCTCTATTCTCATCCCTGTCCCCTGCGCCCCCCCAATGCTCCCCAGCTGCTGACCCCATTCCTCCTCCCCATCCCCGTCCATCACCTGCACCTCCTCGTGCTCTCAATCCCACTGTCCCCATCCCTCAATCCCTGTCTCGTGTCCCATGTTCCCATCCACACCCCCAGCAACCCCTCCATGCTCACAGAATCTCAGAATCACAGAATGACCCGGGTTGGAAGGGACCTCAAGGATCATGAATCTCCAACCCCGCTGCCGCATGCAGGGCCACCAACCTCCACATTCAACACTAAACCAGGAGGGATGCTCCTCATCCCTCTGCCCCCATCCCTGTGCCCCGCACTGCCCCTGCTCTCCATCCCCATCCCTCTATCCCCATCCCTCGCACACTCCATGTTCCCCATCCCTCTGCTCCCATCCCCATCCCCTGCGCCCCCCGCACGTTCCCCGTCCCTCTGGCCCCATCCCTGTCCCCATGCTCCCCACCCACACCTCCGCACCTCCTCCACGCTCTCAGCCCCTCTTCCCCCATCCCTGAACCCCCTCCGCGTTCTCCATCCCTCCGTCCCCGTCCCTCCAACGTTTCCGTCCCCCGCACCCCTCTCGTTCGCATCCCCTACCACCCTCCCTTCCCTCCCCCCGCCGCTCTCACCCTGCCCCAGGCAGACCAACGTGGGCAGCCGGCACTTGCTGACGATGGCATCCAGGGGCAGAGCCGCGGGGTTCCAGCGGAGCCGGGCCAGCCCCGCCGCCAGCTTCTCCATCTCCTCCGCTTCATCGCCGCCGTCGGGCTCAGGAGGCCCCGAGGCCGCGGTGAGGGGGGGGGGAGGCGGCCAGCACCGCTCCGTTTTCCATCGGTGTCGGTTCACCGGGACCGGAGCCGGGTGGGGAAAGGGTTGGAGGAGCGTAAGGATGGAGAAAAGGGGGGGGAGGGAGGGGGGAGATGGGAGACGCCCCCTTTGGGCGGCCCCTAAAGGCTTTCCGGGGGGGCTGCGATCCCCGCATTCAGACCCGGAACCGGAGGGGGGGGGGAGGGGGGGATTGGTTACAGTCCCTCGTGAGAGCTGTTGGGCCCGGGATACTCAGTGATCGTATGAGACCCTAAAGTTGGTGGAAGAAATGGGATGGGGTGGAGAAGGGATGGAGAAGAGATGGGGAGCGGGAAGGAATAGGGATGAGCAGCGGTTGGGATGCAGCAGGGAAAGGAGCAGGGATGGAGCAAGGATGGGGATGGAGCAGGAAAGAAGAGATAGGGATGCAAGAGGGATGGGGAGGGAGCAGAGAAGGGTGAAGAAAGGATGGGGATGGAGCAGGAAAGGAGCAGGCATGGGAATGGAGACAAAGCAGGGATGGGGATGGAACAGAGAAGATGGACATCGTAGGGATGGGGATGGGAAAAGTACAGGGATGGAGCAGAGGATGGAGTAGGAAAGGAGAAGGGATGGGGTTGGAGCAGAGATGGGGATGGGGTTGGAATGGAGATGGGACAGGGAGCCCCTCTGCTGGCACACAGGGCTTGAGATCAGAGCGGGTTCCATCACACCCAGCGCGCCGACCTGGGAGCCGGGCAGGCGGGGAGAGCCACCTCCTCCCCACGGATGGTACCGCGACGGTGGCACAGTGACACCTCCGGGCTGCAGGGCGGCACTGTCGGCTGCCACAGCCTCAGCAGCAGCTCTGCACGAAGCCCCTCTCCCAGCTCCCACGGCTGCAGGAGGAGGAAGCGAGGCCGAGCGCGGCCATGCCCGCATCCCGTGGCGCTGCCCAAACCTGCAGCCAAGAGGGGCTGCTGCCAACGGCTCCTGCACGGAGGGGAAGGGCAGTGCCTCAGCCACCCGATGGTGGTGGCCACAGAGCACAGGGCAGCCGTGGGGACACAAACAGGACTGGATCCTGTACAGCACACCGAGCAAAGGCTGCATCCAAACACCGTTCCTTAGAGCAGGAAGGCTTTATTGCCACATCCACGCGGTCACAGCTGGGGGGGGGAACGCAGTGGGACACGAGGGGCCCAGGAAGGAAGCAGTGCAAGTTTATAAAAGCTTTTATTTGCTCTTGGTATGACCAAGAATGGGACAGTGATCTTTTATACAATTTGATACAGTTAAGTGGTACAAAAGAATGTGTTTTAAATAAAAAGCCAGAGTGGAATAGCAAAAATATTAAAAGATTAAGTAAAAAATCGTAGGCATGGGAGTTAATCCTAGACCTGAAGTCGATGCTGTTTGGTTTTTTCCACCATCCAAATGCGAGCGGACGAAGCGCGGCTTCCGCCCCGGCCCTGCCTGCTTGAGGCGCTCGTACAACGGATCGGCTTTGGGGTTCATCAGGACCAACTGAATGAAGTGACGTAGAAGGAGCAGCCCCAGGCTGGTTTGGCTCTTAGCCCTGCCTCCAGGCTGTCGTTAATGCTAGAGTGCTGTATCTAAGAACCAACACTGTTATTTGTTACGTTTCGGCATCTGAACTGACTCTGGTTGCTCGCTCCTCCTCAGCTGGGCCTTGCACTCCGCTACAAACCAAGCCAAGCCAAGCTACGGGATCGACATTCAGGTTTGGTTGGTTGGTTGTTTTTGCACGAAGGGAAGCAGAACCTGTAGCGATGTTTGGGTTTAAAGACTTGGCCAAGGTTGGGTGTAAGGGGTGGGAGCCACCAGCACAGCGCCTACAGAGGGTCCCGATGGGTCGGCACAGAAGGAGCCAAGCCCCAGGAGCAAATAAAAAGCTCACGTTTCAAAGAAAGGTTATATATGAAAGAAAACAACAACAACAACAACAAGATGCCTATTTTCTCCATTTTCCCTTTTTTTTTGAGAGAGAGAGAAGGTTCAAAAAGTGCAGTTGAGGCGGGAGGTGGAGCCAAACGGGACAGGGACGGGGAGCCCTACGGGGGAGGCGGCTCGGAAGCAGGACGCCCATCCCAACACGGTCATTTCATCGCGACTCAATCCGCTACCATTGCGATTCCCCGCCACGTTGTTCACTGGAGGGAGCCCAAAACCCGAGCGGATAAACGTGAGCTCGGAGAGCAAGGCGAGGCTCGGGAAGAGGAAGGGTTTTGGGGGGAGGTAATAAATTAAACGGCCGACTTTCGTCTTCGTTTTGTCGCTATCGTTCCTTTGTCACCTAAGTCTGACTCGGCCTCGTGCCCGGCTGCCCAACAGCTCGTGGTGGGAGCGGCTAACGGTGAGAGAGAACTGAAGAAGTTGAATGCTGTCAGTTTGGGAATGGCGTGTTATATTCATACACATAAAGTAGACAACCACATCACCCTCCATAGAAAACTAGTGCATGCAAATAACTCTTCCATATCATAAAACCCAACGGCTATGCAGGAGGAGAGAGGATATACTAGTGAACTGACATTGGCTAGAGGGAAATTAGTAGGTATTCGTCAACATCTTACCTCGAAAGCTAAATCAGTGCTTTGTATTAAGTTTTTTGGCAAACATACCGCGTTGCCATCCTTTTTAATTAACACATCACACCATGGAGGGAAGCAAATAAAAGCAGCATGCAGGCAAAAAGGAAAGAGCTGCGAGTGAGAAAAGAAAACGGCAGCAGGAAACAGTTCCGATGGCGAGGTCACCAACAGGAGAGGCGGCAGGTTAAATGGAGCAGCAGTAGTAGCAGTAGGTTTGCTTTTGTTTTGTTTTTTGCACCACCCTTTGTCCTCGATGCACGACACCAACAGTGACAGAAAGCAATCACAAAAGAGTCGGGTACTTGGAAATGGTCGGGGATGGATGCTATGTCTCCTGCACATGCTTCCACCAGAAGAGAAATCAAAGTGAAAATTAAAAGTTCCTTTCCACGTAAGGCACAGGACAAAAGAAACCCCATTCACGTATCAAGGCGAACACGAGTGTTTTCCTGGCTCTTTTGCTGATGCATCTACTGGACACGGTGACTCGAGCACATTTATCCATGACAGAAAATTCCACTGTCGTACAAAATGAATTGTTAATTCTAACTTTTATTCTTATACAATTTGCAGAGGAGAGTTGAATACGATTGCTCTATGTTTGAACGTCGGGAGGAGAGGGGCTATAATACAACCAAAACGTAGTGGTAAGTGGAGCAGGTACATGAAAAAATGAAGTCACGGAGGTGATTTTCCTACACACGTTGAGGAAATTATAGTATGCAAGCTGTCCTACACGGGAGAACAAAGGGAGACAGGAGCTCGTTAAGATGAGGAACAAAACATTGGCTGAAGGTTAAAAACGGACAGAGTGGTTTGTTTTGCAGCGAGAAAAAAGAGGCGGTGGATGGCGATTGGTGATACAGGAGAACGCTCAGCAACACTTGCTCTTCCAGCCTGTCACCCCACCTCCGCTGCTGATATCTACATTTTCACTGTTGGGCTCTTTTACAGGCGTCTGCAATGAAACAAGCGAGAAGGTTAGAGAGCTGCCGAGGCGTCGGGAAGTCCAGGTGGTGAGGGGACAAGAGGCAGGGGCTGCATCGAGATCGATGTTGCCACATCATAACCCGAATCAGGGGGCAAAGTGCTCTGAAGGACACAAGGAATGCTCCCTCCCTTTGCCAGCACAGCTGTGCAGGACAAGCCTATGGGGTTTTTTGTTGTTGTTGTTCCAAATCGACGCTTGAAAAGCTGGGGAAAGCCTCCCAACTCAGACCGCTCTGAAGTGGACAGGGATGATATCCAGCCTCTGCCTTCAGAACTGACACTCGGAGGAGGTAAATCCCAGGCAAACGCGGGTTGAGTTGTGCAAACTGAGGGCCTTGAAAGTGACAGAGTGACGGATGGATTGAGAAGGATATGGATTTTAAAGCAGGGCTGCTCAAAAGCATCTGCCTTCCACTCGTCAGGACGCTGAGGCCGTGCACACAACAGACTCATCTGCATCACAGCACGTAAACATGGCTGGGTCAAAGCACAGCTCTGGCCTGCTGGGTTTGATCAGATGATGGTGTCTATTTTCAGAAAATAACACTATACATTTGTGAGAATGCAGCATTCAGTCCCTTTGCTCCTCTTCTCGTTCTCTACCTCGCAGCCTTGCAACAGAGTTGCTCCCCATCCTGCCTCGTTATTCAGAGAAATGCACTGAGGTCAAAGTAAAAATGCAAAGGCCAGGAGGGTCAGCAGTGTGGAGATGGAGCTGATGGTAAGCAGGAAGGTGCAAATCAAGTCTTTGGCTATGGGAGAACATCAGCTGACTGAAAATCAACCCCAGAGCCACCTGCACATCCATATCCAGCTCAATCCAGCAACAGAA